AAAAAAAAAAAAAAAAAAAGAAAAAGAAATGGAAAAGTCTCCCTACACCCTCCTCATATAACCCTGTACATTCTTTTGATGGATGAAAATGGATGATCTTGAGCACTGTTTCATGGATGGGAGGAAAAAAATCCATTTGGGGGAAGTGCTTACATCACCACTGGATTAACTGCTTTCCTTCCGGGAGTTGTTCTGCTAGTAATTAATCACAAATATAGAAGCAGCAGTAACACTGCTGACACCATGGCATTTTTATTTATTTATTTGGGTACTGGGGATCAAACTCAGGACCTTGTTCTTGCAAGGCAGACAACAGAACCACTGAGCTGAATCCCCAACCGCTTGAAGCTTATCATAAGGGAGGAAGAACATAGGTGGGACAGGCAAACGCCTTAGCACACCTTAATTCTCTGCCTCCACTGCAGACGAGGTCAATGCCCACACAGTGTGTTTTCATGCTTGGTGTTTAACACTCAGAAACTTCCTTCAGCATTGGAAATACCTCAAGCTATCCTATTTTGGCAAGTGTTTTGACTTAAGTACTAACATTATATTCCAGAAAATTTGAAACTTTAATGATCTGTGTATTTATTCAGTTTTTTTGCATACCGGTCAGATATGGACGTGTATACCCATTCTCTTTAGTTAACACACCAGTTGTTTTGGTTGGCTTTCCAAGACACGTTTTAAGAAGATACTGTATAGGCCGGCGTGGTGGCACATGCCTGTAATCCCAGCACTAGGGAGGCTGAGGCAGGAGGATCGCTGTGAGTTTGAGACCAGCCTGGGCTACATAGTGAGTTCCAGGTCAGTCTCAACTACATAGTGAGACCCTGTCTCAAAAAACAAAAACAAAACAAAACAAACAAACAAAAACAAGAAAAAGAAGATACTGTTTAAATTTTCTATTTAAGTTCTGGGATTTGGGAATATGTACATGATAAATTATTACATATATGATTGAAGTTACTTACTAACTAGAATTATTTTAGTATTACTGAATAAATGTTGTATTTGTTTGCTATGGAACTTACTCTTTTTGGGGGGTACCAGGGATCAAACTTGGGTCCTTGTGCTTGTGAGGGAGGCGGTGAAACCACTGAGCTAAATCCCTGGCTCTGGAACTTACCCCTAAACTGAGTGTAAACTTAATTTTCCTACATATATGAAAATGTATGTATTAATCAGAGGTAATTTGCGTCTTTTTGTTTTTAACTAAAATAACTCATGTTTATATAGAAAAATGCCCGTTATTCAGAATTTGTAATAATTTTCTTCACTATATTTGAAATCAAAAGGTCTGCGTAATGTATCAATTTTGATTAATATGTTTTTTAAGAAATAAAACAATATAATGGTTATAATAAAAAATGATGTAGCAAATGATATAAAATGCAAAGAACACAATCTAGCACTATTTATCAAAATTCCAATGTATTCATCCTTGCACCCAGCAATAATGCTTCTGAGAATTTATCAAACAGATATACAACTTATAAAATATGAATCATCTTACACAGAACATTACTCGTTGTAGCATTGTTCCTAATAGCAAGAATAGAAAATACTCATGTGTTTAGCAACAGGGAATAATTAAATAAACGATGTATCTATACAACAGAATACTATGTAGCTATAAAAAAGGCTAGTCTCCCTGTCCTAATAAGGAAAAGTCTCTAGATAGGTTGTTGAGTTCAGAAATGGCAGAGAGCAGTATAAATAGTACACTATTTACAGGGAAATAGTAAGTGTGTGGACAGGAATGGTGGTAACTAGAACATAAGAATAAGCCTTCATATATATAT